AGGCGAATTCTGCATACACTGCCTTGTTGATCATCTCAACTTGTTTGATTACAAACTGCGACCAGCTGCCAGTTTGTCTGCCCACAGCCTAGTGTACCAGGCTGCTTGCCGGCGCCAGTCCTGCGCGCTTTCGTTCCATCCAGATCTCGGCTTTATCTCTTGCCCAGGCAGTCAGTTCAGTTCGCAAGGAGTCTCACATCTCCTGCGACAACGCCTCCTCCTTGTCAGAACGACCTGAGATGGGCATGCGAGGATAAAATATGGTGAAGTTATCTTGGATGTGGAATGTGAAACCGGCATGATAACACCATAACACTACAACGCTCGGACACCATGTGACAGAAGTTCATATGATCTGGCTTAGCACAGTTTAACGGGCCCAAGCCAGGTAACATGGCGGTCTCTCAATATATGGAGTGTGGATGTGCCAACCACCCATTTGGCGGGCAGCCGAGGTTGAAGCGTTCTTGATTGTTTGTGACCTGTCTATCGCTCGGGTTGCGCAAAACTGCCTGGATTGTTGACTTTGACTGAACAATCCAAGTTCAAAAGGTTCCCACAAGGCTAAATCTGGCCTGTCTTCCCTCGCAACGAGTTGGTTCAATGTCCCGCCGTCCGTTGCAAAGCAAGGGTCCACGGAAAAGCCGCACAGCTCGGCTTTCGAGGCCGCCCAGCGCAGTGGAGCCTAAGGCGGGGCTGAGCGATCCGCGAGTTCTACGGGCACCGCGTAAGTGATGCAAGCTGAAACCTTTGTTGAGCTTGCGGCCGAGAGAGCGAGGGAGCCGGACTCACTTCCAAAGTGGATTGGCCAAAAAGTTCTGGTCTGAACTTGGCGATTACCACTAAGATGGTCTTCCCAAGGATTGTAAAGTCCAGGCACTCATGGCGTAAGCGGAACAGCGTCAACGTGCTCCACCCGGACTCTTTGGACTGGCAAACTGGAAGCATCCAACCCATGCTCCCATGCCCAGCCTCTGTCCACCCAGAGTGAAGCTTTGCCCTGTGCTGTGGGCTCAAATCCATCTTTCGATTTCAAAAGCCAGACCATCAAATCGACTGCTCGAACGGAACGCTGGTGTCTTATTCCTCAGTGAGTCTTTCTCTCAGACTGGTCTTTTGGATGCCTAGCACATCCCCCTCAAGCCACAGCCCTGCGCGCCTCGCGCCGCAGCGCATCTTCCGCAGCCAGGACGCAAAGCCTTCGCTGACGTGCGCTCTGCGCGCTCCAACTGTCGCTTTGCGACTTGGGATGCTTGAACTTGCAATTCGAGGACTGGAGAAAACCTTAAATGCCCCGAACCGGAGGGATACCAAAAAGGACTTCAAGGAATTCTGGGAATTGGGGCCGCGCTTGAAGCACTGGTACAGGAAGGCGCCGTAGGCGCCTTGCAGCGAAGCCTCAGGACTTGGCACATGCAAATCGACTTTTTCATGCCCAGGCCTCAGCATTCGAGGCAATCACCTGGCGAGACGCACCCGTCTTACGCTTGAGGACACAAAGACTCTGTCTGCAGGCAGGCATAGCTGCCCGGAAACATGTACGCAAGCAGAGTCAAGTGTCAAGGACCTAAGTAATTGTGCGCATGCAAACTACAAGCCGGCTTTTCGGCAAGGTCGTCTTAGAATCAGGTTGCAGCGAGCACACCAAGTTTGCAGTCCCACCTCCCGAGAAGCGTTCAGCAGCACTTGCCACGCATCCTGCAGGAGATGCCAATGACAGAGCAGCATGCTTCTAGTCTCCCAAGCAGCTTAGAACAATATTGCACAAAGGCAATGCACAGTTGGATGTCATTGGATCCGGACACTTGGTCAATTAAAATCAAGCACGAGAATCGGATGCCAAGGCGTACTGATGGCGGGTCAGCATATTCAAAAGCACAAACGACAAATGCTGATAGCCCCCAGCTACTGGTGGTGCGCGCTATGAGTGTCTACAGCTCAACATCGCACTGCGCAGCACGCTGGTCGCAAGGTCTCGCAAGGTCGAAATCATCCTCCCACAAGCCACAGCGTCGCAGAGACTTGGCCAACATGAGCTGCACCTCAAAGCCCCGACTATCTGAAACAAATCGTCCATCTGATATAGGTAGCAACGTACATATAGATCCCAATAGATGTGCACATGGTAAAACACCTAGGTATTTTTCTCTAGGCACTCGAAACCTATAAATGACTTCAGTGGGGCGCTGGCTCGTGGGCGGCACTGCAAAGTCTCCCCGCCGCTTCCGCGCCACACCTGCACAAACAAGCCCCGCCTTACGAGCCCCGCCTTTAACCCTTCGGCCCGATCTCTCAGACCCGAGACATCGCATCGCGCCTTGTGCCGGAGGATGAGGTCCAAATCCACCGACAAGTCCGGGGGCGCCTGGTTTCTGAGCTGATCTGCCCAGAACCAAACCTCCTGCAACATGAAGAGCGACACCAAAAAGCCGGATAGGACGAGGCGAACTAGACATCGCATGACGCATGTCTGTTTCGCCTGGCAAAGCTCCAACGCCTTCCGTGCGCTCAGCACAGCCTAGGCAGCCGAAAGGTGCTGAATGACAAGCGGAGGGAGGCTGCCCGTGCGCCTATGTTCCCTTTTCAAGCAGGACTTTGGCAGAGACCGGGCTCCATTCAAAAACTCGCAACTTCTCTTTGACGCAACCCCAGGCAACCCAAGGCTCTTTTTTGAGGACCTGGAGGTCCTGACCCCTTCAATGGAGGGTCCTTGCTGATGCTTTGGGAAGGACAAACTTGCCTCTGACTTTCATAGACATGGGGGAGGAGGGACAAAGAACAAACCATGTCTGGCCTTCTTGTGAGCCTGCTGCGCATCGTAGAGGCACCACCTAGGCAAAAAGCGAAAGGACCAATTCGAGTCGGACGTGGGACCCTCGAGTTGATTTCCGTGTGCTGCTGAAATATTTCGCAAAAGAGCGGCTTAGGCAAGAGTTGTGGTATCCATTTGAGCGCCCTGTGCCCCATGAGGGGTCGACCCGTTCTTACGGGAGGGGTCTCTGTTGGGCGGGGTAAACAAGCACACAAATGCCATGGGTGTCTTTTTTGGAGCTTCCTGGTACCCCTTTCCTTTTGCTTCGGGCTTCCAAAAAGAACACACGTATATATATATATATATATGTATATATTAATATATATATATATGTATATTGCAAATACTAGTAGCATTCGAAACGAGCAGTTTGGGTTCTCCGGCAACTCCAGCAGAGCCTCGAGCCGATCGGATCGGCTCCAGGTCCTGCTCGTTGCGGGGCTCGAGAAAAAGCCGAGAGTTGGCACGTTTTTGCGGCGTCCAAAAGGGGAAGTCAAAAGGAAAACCGAAGACATTTTCGGGAGCCCCCTAAAGGAAAGACACACGTTCAACTGGTGGTTGTCCTTTTTGGTAGCCCTCCACTGAAGAACCCATAGCCATCAAGTCCTCAAAAGCCATTGCAAGCCGTCCCAGTTTTGAGAGAGCACGAAGTGACGAAATGGCAACTGTGGCAGCAAAATCCCACTTGGAAGAACTTGCAGCTTCCTCGAGCTTCTTCCAGACTTTTGATCGGGTCGCGAACCCATGAAGCCAGCTCTCGCGAATCGCCTGCATTTCCTTGGCACTCTCCTACCGACTCAACTCGACTAAGCTGATCTGATGAGTTGGCATGTGTTGCGGTGCAGTTCTTTCGCCCACACGTCAAAGGGTCAGAACCCAAGTGTCAACGTCAGGAAGCGTTGCCTGTCAGACTCATCCTACCGTACGGCACCTCATGCAATGCTTCTTGCAGCTTTGCCGTGGCAAAGACAAATCTTGGCTCCCCAAAAGCACATGGAAACATTCAGCGTTTCCCCTAGTACGTGCGTGGCAGATTTGAGCGGGCCGCCCTTTTTGACTGAAGGAATGTTACGCTCCCTTTCCCCGGCTCCTGTCAGCTTCTTCCAGCTCCCCATGTAGCAAGTGTAGCCGCCCCTTGCAAAGCCTGAGGCTCGTGCCACTACTCTGACAGTTGGATGCATGCCTGAAGCAATGCCATGCAGACTTCTTCAGTCCCACTTCCGAGCCAGTTTCGATTGTCTTCAAATGGACCCAACCAAATTATCCTTGGCTTTTTGGGCAAACCCCCAAAGAAGGAGTATAGCCTAAAGGACGACACGCTGTGAGCACGCTCTGGCGATCCCTGGGGACCGGACAGGCCAAGGAAGTCATCGCTGGCCGCAGCTGCCGCTGCTTGAGCAGCTCGCCAGTTGTTGAAGAGGCTCCATGCCGAGCCCTCGGTTTGAACCCGCGCCTAAAGAAATTGGACCCGTGCCCCATGGGGCTGCGGCTCAAAAAATGGCACACATGGCCCCTTGGTCTTTAATTGAGCCACACCCATGTAAACCGACCTTGGATCCAGGGATGTGAGGGATGCACAGAATTGAATTCAATCTTGGCTTGTTTCATTGTTTACATCTATGTGTTTATCCCGGAGAATCAACATGCTATATTTGCTGCGTTGCCATAAACCATGATCCTGTCTTTGCCGCCTTTGCCTCCTGGAGGCTGGGTTCGGTTCACTGCTGGTTTAGGGTGGGCTTGCAGTTGGGGGCAGTGGCTTGGTTTGGGGTGGGTTTGGTTGGGCTCGGGTTGATTTGGAGTTGTACATGTGTACATTCAACTGGGCTCAAAGATCCATTTGTTCTCCATCTTGTAGCAGACTCCGCGTCTGCGTTGCACATTGACTGATGTAACAGAAGATATATGCATCAAAGGGGCCCAACAAGCATGGGGTCAACATTGTGATGTCAGCGACTACCAGTTCAGTCGTTCGCAGTGAGGGGACATGTTTTCGTTTCCCCAGTTGTTGTCGTATATTCTTTGCAAGCCACCGCGGCGTTTTGCAGGGCCAGGCTCAGTGAGGAAGGCCTGCCAGAGACCGACGGCCAAATGCTCAAGGGGGTACACTCCCAAGCCACGCAGGTTCTTCAATGGAAGCCCGGTGGAACCGCCAAACCTTAAACGAAGCCCAACTAGCACCTACTCCCCCCAAAACGCCTCTGAAGGGGTGTGGTATGGTGTGGTAAAAACATAACTCTCGGCATGTCCGAGCATCGACAGAAACGGTGCTCATTGCAAAGGCGCCTTGGTCGGGTAGCAACGCTGCAGACTGGCGCGGCCGGCGAAATGCTGTTGCCCAAATGGATCGTTGGAACTGGTGAGCTCACCCGCCTGCTCGCCACGGCACATCAGCTTGACCTAAGGCGAGGGTCTATCCAGCCGCATTTGCAGTTCGCATGCTGGGGCCAGGCACCGGTGCCCAAAGCCTGCAACAATCGGGATATCTGCCCGGGAACATGCCGAATGTTGGCCCCCTCATGCAACGCCATGGGCGCCGGCCTCTGCCTCTGCCTTTGGTCCAGGTGCCCTCGGACCAAGCTTGACGGCAAGTGAGCTTGCTTGACCCCAGCGCTACTTGGATTTGATACAGTCTGATACACAGAGTGGGATAGGGTTGCCGGGTTCGATCAGCTGAGCTCGGCGCCTGTATCCCGGAGGTCGATGGTGCACTGGCTTGGGAATGCCTGTCGGAAGGTCTTTAGCAAATGGCTTTGAAGGCAAACCAAGAGCAACCAGCCAACTTGCTTTAGTCTTCTGTTGTGGGCATGTGATCCTTCTCAAACCCGATAACATGACACCTTCTGGCTCGCTCAGCAAAACCCAGCCTTGACTCGGTGGCTTTGCTTCCGGCTTTGCATCTGCATCCGGCAGAGAACGTGTCGAAGGATCATTGCGCACCAGCCCCATCAAACAACCAAAAGCTGGCGCAATTAGTTACCGCATCATTCCAACAAGGCAGTTGGGGGGGGAATGCCTTCAATTTCCTGCCCGAAAACGTTGGAGCAAGACCATGCCAGCGCCTTGCCACGACAAGGTCGAGGTTGCCTGCGGACCAAAGTGATGGCACCAATCAGCCGGAAATTCACTGAAGATTCACCCCGCCTTGCCAAGTGCTTCCAACCAAATGGCATTGGAGACCTGATAAATCCTGCCACTTGGCACTTTCATCAGACCAAAGTGCCAGCAGGAAAAAACGGGACGCTTTCAACTTGTGCCGCATCCCAAGATCGAGACGACGTCTCACAGCCGCACCTCTTCACGTTGGCTTCCAGCTCTCCTGCCTCGGGAAAAAGGGGCCTCCCCCCTTCGGAGCGAAGTTCGTGCACGTGGATTTTGACAAACTCAAAGAAAAATCAAACTTGAAATGGTTTCCTTTTGGCTCTCCAAAAAGGGTACCATCAAAAAAGCAAACACCCAAATGGTTGACGTCATACTGGTTCTCCATTTAAAAAGCCCTTTCTGGTCTTAGCTTTGAAAAAAAGGGCCATGCGGATCGCTCGGAACATCGAACGAGCGCACATCTGCATCTGGAACACAGGGATTCAGCTCATGCCGCAGCTTCAACTCCAACACACTTACAGACTGCAACAGAATACTGCTGCGGTGAGTGGCGCTTTATCGTACTGGTGTCATGTTGGTTGCCTTTACCTCACTAAAGTGAGTGGATTGGTGTTCCCAACAAGGCTAAAGTCCAGGAACTGGCGAGTTGCTCCTTTGCAGAATGTTCTCGCACGCCCCTTCGGGGGCTTGGAACGCGAGTGTTCACACGCCGCAGCCCTGGCCTTGCTCAAGGCCTCAGCGGCAAGCCGCCTCGGAGAGTGAGCGGCTTGCCAGCGTTGGAAACGAAGGAATGCCACGGTCCATCGTTTTATTCCATCCCGAGAAAGGCATCATGTTCTGTGTCAAGTGTACGGACCAAATTTAGGGAGGCGTTTGAAAAAAAACCGTTTGCGCCAGTCTGAAATGGGAACCAACATGAAGTCTGTTGGGAAAAGGTCCCAGTTCTGACATCCGCACACGCATGGGTTCCCAAAACAGGAACTTGCGTGGGTTTGGCTGAAGGATCAAGGGGCGAACAAGAACATTCTAGCAGCTTCCGCGGCTTGGATTGTCCGAGGGTTTCGCATCTACTCTCTACACCTTCAAACCCCAATCGATGGTTGACCCCTCGACTCGAGCGGCTCTGGGTCAATAGCTTCTTGTTGCCCTCGAGCTGAGGCAGGAGCTCCTCGCAAACAACGACAAAAAACAGGTTTCATCCGGGTGAACGAAGAGAACAGCCACCTCAGAGAAAACGCGTGGGAAAGCATCGCCCACCCTGACATTTCCCAATGAAAACACACACCCGTTGAGAGATTCCTTTGCAGGGCCGGAAGTCTCCAGGATCGGTCCCGAAGTCTTCCAGCAGCAACCAGTGGATTGATGGGGGATTCCAGCATGGCAGCCTGCCACTCTGTCCCTGGCCCTCTCGGCTTCACCAACATTCAAATGCCAAGCACAGTGCAAGAACGCAAGCTATGAATCGAATCTGGTCCACAGGTCAGCCCAACCGAGTCCAACAAGCCCAAACACCAGAACACCTCCAAGGCCACAACCCAGAATGCTTCAGAACCCAAACAACAACTTCCACCCCTAGAAAAGCTATGAAAACGGATGTCTTCTTCAAATTCAACATGGAAAAAAAAATTGGCCAAACAATTGGCCGGTCGCGCCCAGAAGCCCACGAAGTGCTGCACGCTGTTGGGCACCAGCGGCTGCATGCCCTTCAAATGCGGCAGATATGCCGCCATGGCCTCAACGTCGACTCAGCGCTCAGGCGCTGAGTCCGCGTCTGGCAAGAAACCAGCTGCCATGAATGCTTGCACTTGTTGTTGGAGCGAAAACATCTGTATGCACCGGTCTTTGATCACCCACAAAGGATGCCTTGGATGTGTGCCGTCTAGCCCTCAATTAAATCCGATCCAAGAAAGCATGTCTCTAGACAGTTTGGACACCAATGGGTTCCAGGGTGGTACACTCATCATTGTCATGTGGAACCCTCTGGTTAGAGTTGAGTTCTGAGAAAGACCCTCAGTCACCTTGCCAACTTGTCAACACAGAACAGTGCACGTCAAGCCAAGGACGAAAACCTGCACTGCGGAGGTCCAAGCAAGCGCCGTGCGCCGCACCTCATGACTTCCGTCGTAGTGGGCCAGGCGTCCGCACTGGTACAGCACCTGTCGCAAACGGTAACCTGATTTCCTGGCCTGCAATGGCCAAACATGGGCCACCGCACTCGTGCTTGTAATTTGCAGTAAACGTTTCCCAGAATGAGCACCAACAAGCATCCAACAAGCATCGATCCATGGCAAGGCATGAAAACTGACAAAGTCTTGAAGGTTTGAGACCTGCCTCTTTGTTTCAAGTTCATCATTTAAAAACCAGTCTCGGCGTTTGCACGCAACTTCGTACGTGTGGCCACCAAATGGCGCCCAGAATGCATCATTGACAGTGGCCCGTTGGGATGTTGGGGCGCAAACGTGACCGGCGTATACATACCAGGCAGTACCATTCTGATGTGCAGACTGAAGCTATGCTCTTGTCGCTTCTGGGATACATTGCGTGAGATATGACATGCGATTTTCACGGAGCTGAAACCTGTTCCGAGGCACCTCTCGTGATGGGCAGAAGGAGAGCTCCGCCTCGGCGCCGGAGCTAAGTGCACCCTCCGGCCTCTCCGCTTTCGGCTTCGCGGCTCCGAGCGCCGGGCTGCGGCCAGGCGCCAACATTCCGGCCACTGGCCAGCCAAAGCCAAGGCCTTCCAGAGAAGTGCTCGCGGTGAATGTGGGAAAGTGAGAGAGAGAGAGAGAGTGCCTCTTCTTCCAAAAAAAAAACTGGCACGGTTTTCCCAATGGTTTCCTTTTAAATACCACCCTAAAACAGAAGAAGGGGCACCATCAAAGGCGAGCCACGCGGCCCAGGGCCCAGGGCCCCGGCCTTCAGCGCGAGACAGACTGCTCGCTGCCATGCAACAACATCACAGCGCAAGGAGCCAGCAGCCAGCATGGCGACCTGGCGCGCAAATCGGCGTGGGCGGTTCGTCCTGTTTACGGCTGGACCCCCCAAAAAAATGGGCGGTGCTTCTTTTTCTACTGGTTTCCCCTAAAAACGCAGCCTAACAGTGTAGCCCCAAAGAAGTTGGAGGTTCACACGAATCTTTAGTTCCTCTAGTCAAAATCTGCCTCCATGCAGCTTGCAGCTCTCTTGCGCACTCGTTAGGCGCGAATGAGCACTGACGAACCCAACTCAATTCAAACTGCCTCACGCGGCATGCTGAACCCTGCAATGCTGCTCTCCGAATCCTTTCCGACAGTGAGGCGTGCCTCTTCTTTTGAGGCAGTGATCAATTTAAGGTATGTTTGAAAGTTCAAGCATCCACATCCAAGCAACTCATGATCAGCACAACAGATATAGCGTCTTGATTACTTTGGTTCTTTCTTTGTGTTGTACTTCTTAAACAAGTCACTTCAACACGCAGTGTATGATGTGTATGCTACAATCGTTCCTATGTTATTCGTTTGCCAAAGAAAAGATTGGGTGCTGTCATGGCAAAATGAGTAGGCTTCCGTGGACGAACTACGGACTACCACCACCATCGCCCCCTAATTACATTATATTGTGTTTCCCAAGTTTCATGACCCGGTCCATGTGGTTTCGGCGTGAATTTGGATTCCCGTTAAGCCATTCCAACAGGTGCCAAAGTGTGGTGTGCCATCTATTTTGGATATGTTTTCTTTTAGGGGACCCCGAAAATGAGTGGTTTCCATTTGGGTTTCCCTTAGGTTCGCAAAAAGCGAGCTACCCTCACAAAAAGCAGGACCCATCTTCAAGACAGACTCAGATTTGGCTAAAAAAAACAACTCTACCCCTTGCCTCGGCCGCACGGGCCGGGCGCTTGCGAAGGTGGCGCCTCGACCAAAGGCCGGCGAGGCATGTCATGCGAACCTTCTCCGGTGTGACAAAACATCTCTGATAGGCTTAGGCACGGAACTTCTTGGCTTTTTCCGGCGATTCCTTCTGCAAATAGGGCTTCTCCACTTCCGGCGATTCCCGTCTTTCTTGATTTGGGCAGGGCAAATCGCCGCACCGAGGCGCGGGCCACAGCAGGTCCAGCACCATCAGCTTGGCCGAGGCCGCGGATCTCGCGGGCTTCCGGCGCTCGCGGGGCTTCGGCGCCAGGCCAAAACCTTCGAGCAGCGCGCCGGCGGCGGAGCTGTCCTCCGTCACCTGGAGCAGCCGACAAGGAGCTACGGAGCTACCCCAGAAGCCAAGAGAAAACCCGCCGTCACTTTTGATGAAAAAGAACGAAACAGAAAATGGAACTCTTATTGGGTCCACTTTCATCTGGAAACGGATGGTCTTTTCGGAATTCCTCTAGAACTGGGTGCGAGAGACATGTTTGTTCTTTAAGGCGGCGACTTTGGGTGTGGCTTGGCTTGGAGGCCCGAGCCTAAATGAAGCTGAACCGACCCAAGACCCACCCGCATTAAGACTCTAGGTTCAAGTGACGCCGGTGATGCTGGGGATGCGGCCAGCCAGCCAGCCAGCCAGCCAGCCAGCCAGCCAGCCAGCCATGGAACCAGACCTAAGAGATTCCAGACCTCCCTCCAAAAAGCACACAGAACAAGCACGGCTTCGGAAGCGCCGACCATTCCAGCCCTCGAATGTGGCCCTCTCCCCATTGCCCGACTGTTCAAAAGTAACACGCATGCGGAATGGAACGAACACAGCTAACCTCCCGTCTTTGCCATTTCCTAGGAAATGCCCAGGGTGTGGCAGCAAACGGACTGCGCTGGCGGGTCACTGGGCAACGCTTTCGCGCCTCGGCCAAGAAGTTCCGGCAAGCCGCCACCGTCGCTTGCTGCTGCGCCTTGGAGCCCCTAAGCAGCTGCCTCAGCGCGCCGCGCCGCTTCGGCACGCAGCTTCTTTGGAACGACCGCGTAAGGTACGCCCCCATAGGAAGGTGGGCTGCTTCAACCAGGATCTGTCTGCAAATGGGGAAACTCCCGGCTTCCTGTTTCCTTCCAGTCATTGAAACACAAAACAAGGTGCCCTCAAAAAAGCACACACCCATATGTTCTACTGCGGTGGCTGCCCGAAATACTGCAAGTAGGGGGAACAAGAGAAAAACCATACAGCTTGCCGCAGCTCGCCGCTCTTTTCGTCTGCAGTTTGACACGGTTCCCTCGCTGGAGTTTGCCATGGTTCACTCGGGCTTCCTCTGCGGCTTGCCGCGTTCTTTCGGCTTCGGCTGCCGTGTCCCCCACCTGGCGTAGGGCGCGAAGCCCCCCACCGGCTCCAGCTCCGCCGCTGCTGCGGCCGATTCCGCGTCCAGGTGCGCGCGGCAGCGCAGGGCCAGGATCTCCTCCTTCGCCTCCTCGCCGGCAAGAATTTCATGGACTTGACACCCCCAAATGCGAGGAAAATGTCCGATTTTCCCGGACAAACTGCGAGCAAAGGGGCACCCCCCAAAATATTGAACCACACCCTTTTGGACCCTGGACATCTATACCAGCTCAAAGGTGGACCATTTTTTGTGGAGGGAAACACATTCGGACATATCTCCATGGTTCCCCTAAGCCGCAAGGAAACCTCTGTGGTTTCCATCGGAGAAAAAAAAAAAAAAAAAAAAACTCGAAAGAGAGGTAACATCGAACAAATGATCACCCAAAGCAAGACCCTTGTTAGCGGAGTAAGCCATAGGTAGCAAGCCCTAAAAGTGAAAACGTGCCAGGAAAAGCGCCCCAATATTCCCTAAGAAGGAGCGTGTTGGCAATCTGTGTCGCTAAGCTGCTTTGCGCTGTTGCGCCGCTGCGCTGCTCGCTGCTGCAGACTAGTTGTTTAAAGGGAAACCCCCATATTGAGCCGATCTTTAGCGATCCTTTGCATGTCAAAACGAGTTGATCCAAGGAACGATTCATTAAACCTGGCTTTTCTTGGCTTTAGACGCTCTTGCAAGGAGATTCCACTGTCTCACCGATGGAATACATGAAAACACTGTATCCCTCAAAGCGCGGCTGTCCTTTTTGCCTTCTTTTCCAAAGACGAGCCCCGAGCCCCCGCCCCTCGGTTGGCCCAACCTCGCAGCAGTCTTGGCACCGTTGCAGCACCGAGGGCCGCTGCAGGAAGCTGAGGTCCCGGGAGCTGAAGAGCAATGCCTCTGGAAGTGTTCAGCTTGGCTTTGGTTTGGATTCGTTTAGTGGCTAGGGGCCTCACATATCCTCACATTTACCCTCTACAAGAACCCCTGCTCAATTCTTTCTCCGAGATGCGTGCGTGCGTGTGTCAACCCTCCAAACGGCTTCGGTTTCCTTTACCCTCAAAAAACCAAACCCAAGCGGCAATGGGGCGGGTGGTGCTGTTTCTTTTTGCGTTGATTTCAAGCTATCCAAAGGGGTCCAAAAACGTGGCTCCCTCAAAAGTGGGCACCTGAGGTATTGTGGGTTGCTTGGTTACTTGCCAGAGCCAACCACGTGGTAGAAGGGAGCGCACTTGCGAGGAGACACCAGAGTGTCAAAAGACGCGCCATCAAGTCGGTCGGGCATTTGCCTTTCCGTTCAAACTTCTCAGTGCGAGTTGCAACTTGTCAGGATTCATGGAAGACATT